GGGGGGGGGGGGGGGGGGGGGGGAGACCCCGGTACGGTTTCAGTATTGTGGGAACAGGGACAGGTACAGAGCACCCTCACCTTGACGGCAGCGATGAGCTACTGGCAACACACCTGCTTGGCTGCCACCCGGGGCTTCGTGTGCTAGTGGATGGGGTGAGGGCTTGAGGACTGGGACATTTGGGGACGCGCTCTGAAGTGACCTTGCTAGGGGCGGCTGCGCCGTCAGAACAAAGTTCTGGAGCCAAATTTGTGACCCTAAATTCGCACCTGAATAAGCCCGGGACGCGCGCGGCCCAGGCGGCGAGCGCGAGGATGGAAACAGGCTCCCGAGGATGGAAACAATGTCGGGAGTGTCGAAGCCTCTCTGGAGTTCAGGAAGCCGGGATGGGGGAGGAGGAGGGCGGGGAGAGGGGAGCTGGGGAGCGTGGCGTCTGCGGCTCCCCGCTGAAGGGCCTGCGAGAGCCGCTTTACCTCGGCGTAAGGGGCCCAGCAGGAGCCTCCACTTAGCTCGGAAACTGCCCGGGCAGGGGGTTCGCGTCCTGGAGCCACGTGAGGCTCTCCGTACCCCTGCCAGGGGAAAGGGTACGTCCTGCTTTCAAAACCTGCTCGTTTCAAGCGAAAAGAATAAAACAATCTGGCAGCCAGTCTTTCCACCCGGAAACCACGGGCTGGAACCAGTTTCCCAGGCGGTGCCCTCCTCGGGGAGGTCTTCGGCAGTCCCGGCATCTGTTTGCTATTTAGCCAATGCTCCTGGGCAAGTTCTCCATGTGCGCCGGGTCCCGAGTTTGCAGTCGCGCGCGGGAGAATTGGGAATGGGATGGCAGGTACCTGGAGGCGTTGGGGAAGGGGGAGGGGAAGGTAGTTAAGATCCCTTTGCAGGCTGAAGATTTATTTCTGCGTATCCCGTCTTTACACTCCAGTTTTTTCAGGGCGCAAATAATTTTTCGTCGCAGCTACAAAGCAGTCTTCGCTTTTCTGCTTTGACTGATCTCTCTTCCAATGAGGAAACCCTTTCACCCGAGTTTAGAGATAGGATAGGCCACGGTGATTTTCGAGAAATGCGCGCTTCCTCGCTCTCCAACGGAAATTATCATATTAGCAACAACAAAATCCTCAGGATCAAAACAAGGAGGTGGAAGGGGATTTGGTATAAAGCTCAGGCAGGTGGTTTTGCTGTATTCTGTGGAAAAGTCTCCTGATTCCAGGTTGGATTGGCTTGCTTTAGAAAAGAAAGTCAGGGCCGGCCCGTGGCTCACTCTGTAGAGTGCGGTGCTGATAACACCAAGGCGGCGGGTTCGGATCCCATATAGGGATGGCCAGTTTGCTCACTGGCTGAGCGTGGTGCTGACAACACCAAGCCAAGGGTTGAGATCCCCTTACCGGTCATCTTTAAAAAAAAAAAAAAAAAAGAAAGAAAAGAAAGTCATATTTAAAAATAATTATGACCATGCTGCGGATTGATTGGTGTCCTCCAAAGTTCATAATAAAAAGTTCAGTGGTAGCTTAATTCTCACTGTAACTGTTGAGGGTAGGAAATACTATTATGATAATTGAAAGGTGGGGCCTTGGAGAGGTGAGTAGATTCTGAGGACCATGCCCCAGTAATTGGATTAATAAAGGTGGTCATGGGCGTGGTTCTGAGGGCTTTAAAAGGAGAGCACAGGAGAGTCTCTTCTCTCTCTGCTCTGCCATTTTCTGCCATGTGAGACCCCTGCATTGTTGTAAAGCAGCCACCAGAAGAAGATCCTCAGCAGATATATTCCCTGGACTTTGGACTTCCCAGCCTCGGAAACTGTAAGCAATAAACTTCATTTTCTTATAAATTACCCAGTTCCAGGCATTTTGTTATAAGCAACAGAAACAGACTAATACAGACCACATGTATTGCTTTCAGAAGATCCTGGGCAGAGCTGAGGGAGGAGATGCCCCTTTTATTTCTACACCCAGAAGTTGTACTGCCAAAATTGTGAACTACTGCACTAGCAGGTCAGATGGGGATTGTGACAGATGCAGAGCTAATTAACTAATTACTGGACTTAAACACCCCCTGGACAATTTCTTGAAGGATTTGAAGGATTCCAGACTTCCAAGGAGAGGCAAAAAACAAAAGAAGTCAGTAACTGGTTACTTCAAACACATTAGAGGTGTTCTTCTCCTCGATTACATGAAGAAATGCCACTGAAAAGTATATACGTGGACATGAGTATATTTAAATTTCTCTAATATCATTAAAGAAATAGATATTGGCTCCCACACAAAAAGTTTCAAAGTAATAAAATCAGAACAAATGATTTAGCAATTTAAATATCTTATTAAAAGGGAAAATATTTTTGATAAATCATTAATGTTACTCAAAGGAAGTTGCAAAACAGCAAACTGGCTGAGTCAGAATTACAATAACAATAAAAAAGTGGAATGTATTATATGAGATATTTGACAACTCAATGAAAAAGTAATTCTGAAATATAGATCAGTTACCAGGAAAACATTCACTAGAAATTAAAAAAAAAAAATTCATAAGCTGTTCAGAAAATATGCTTACTATTCAGATCGGTTAAAGCAGTGATTCTCAACTGGGAGTGATTTTGGGGGTGCCTTCCCCCACCCACCCCCAATCAATTTGACAATGTCTGGAGACATTTTTTGGTTGTCACAACTAGGAGAAGGGAGTGCTACTGGTATCTAGTGGGTGGTGGCCAGGAATACTGCTAAACATCCTGCAATGCACAGGACAGCCCACCACCACAAAGAAGTATCCTGCCCAAAATGTTCAAGCAGTGTATAAGCTACCCAGGTGAAACTTCAGCTTTGTATCTTGTGCTATTTATCTCTGCTGTTCGTGTTTATTCTTTGGCATGCCTGTTATTTTTCCATCTTCATTTCTTGGTACTTATTATGAATCCCTATAATACTTTATTATACCTCTTGGGCCACATTTTCCTTTTTTTTTTTATTTGCTTTGAAAAATTACGTTTTTGAATGGGTAGTATATTCAAAAGGTTTAAAAATCAAAACAATATGAAAAATTATACACCGAATGTCTTACTTCCACCACTTCCATAGTTAATAATTTTTAATAGTTTCTTGTGTATCTTTAGTGTTTCTTCATACATATCAAGCAAATACAATTATATACTCTTGTATTTTTCCCCTTATTATATAAAAAAAGTATATAATATGCAGTTGTGCACCTTTATTTTCATTGAACAATATATCCTGGATGTCTTTTCATATCTGTCCACAGATATATTCCACATACTTTTCTACACCTGCATACTATTATATCATATAGATATACCATTGAAAAGATGTCTCCAGTTTGTTTTATTTGAAAGGACTCACCAAACTCCAAAGAGTATATTCATACAAACTGTTATGTAAAGGCAAAGGATATGGTGCAGCAAAGAGTACAGGCAAGCATTGGAGGTCAGAGAGACATCCCATGTGCAAGCTCCCTAAGGGACATTATTTGCACAAATGGACCATGCTGTTTTACCAGCTTGAATTGCCAAGGTCTGTGAGAGGAATCTTATCTAAAGAGAGCTCAAAGGAGAAACTCTTAGGCCATTCAAAAAATCAGACCACGTTTGTCAAACCCGTAAACCCAGTTGCAAACCATCAGTAAAGAAACCAACTCTAGGAATCTCCAGGAAGAATTTCAGAACTTAATCACTGCCTCATAAACTGACCAAGAGTCAAACACCATATATCCAGAAGGTATAGTAAGGACCACTGAAAATCCTTTCCACCATAGTAGTAATGTGAATGTGGGAAAATTGTCAGAATTAACTATTTCAGCACTCTGGAAACTAACCAAAGACTTACAGCATCTAAGGAGTGTTTATGCAAGAAAAACAGGTAAATCTCAGTAAAAAAAAAAAAAAAAAAAAAGAAAAGAAAAAAGAAAAAAAGACAAAAGAAAAGAAAAGAAAGAAAGGAAAAAGAAAAGAACAGTGAGCTTGGTGGTATTTTAATTTACCTTATTCTCATCTCCCTCTTCCCAGATCCATGGTAACCTTGAAATTAAACAGCCTGCTATAGTGATAAAAACGAGCAGTCTGGCAGCCCCTGGAAGGAGCAGAAAGGTATTGGAGCCCTTTCAAAGCCTCATTCTCAGATCATTGTCATTATGTGAACTATCTGGTAAGTCCCTGGAAGACCCCACTTGCAAGCTGTCTTTATTTGATCTGACTCAGAGTTCACCCAGGGGCATTGGCTGAAAACAACCAGAGGCAATTGTTTAACATTGCAACTGTCTAAGGGCAAACAATTGGGGCAAATAAGAAGCTCATGGAAAAGCTTAAAAGGTAAAGCTCAGGAATGAGATATCCATAGGGGATGCTGAAAAGCACCAACGTATTCCTGAAATTATTGTTATCATAATTCTGACTGAGCCAGTATGCTATTTTGTAACTTCCTTTGAGTAACATTATTTATCAGAAATCTTTTCCCTTTAATAAGATATTAATAGCAT